AGAGAGAGAGAGAGTTTTACAAAGGTGATCTTAATTTCAAATTATCCCTCACATTTTTAGAAATTTTTTTTTCTAAAAATCAATTCATTTTTGCTTAGTAAAATTATGTTTTTTTATCAATATGGTTATATTTTTTTATCAATATGGGAAAACATTTTCTATATTGCTTAAAAAAATTATATTTTAAATAAAATTATATTTTAAATAAAATTATATTTAAAATAAAATTATATTTTAAATAAGTTATGTTTTTTAATAAAATTTATGTTTTTTAATAAAAAAATATGTTTTTTGATGAATATGGGAACTGTTTTTCTATTTAGCTTAACAAAATTATTATTTTTAATAAAATTATGGTTTTTTAATAAAATTATATTTTATGATGAATATGGGAAGTGTTTTCCATTTTGCTTAGTAAAAATATTTTTTAATAAAATTATGGTTTCTTAATTAGTTTTGTTTTATGATAAATATGGGAAGTGTTTTTCTATTTTGCTTACTAAAATTATTTTTTGATCAAATTATTTGTTCTACTGTTCTTAATTTTGATAAAATCAATGCACAACACACTGATATGGATATGGTAGATACATATAAGAACAGTTGTGCATTGAGTTTTCGTTTTGCTGCATATCATGAGATGTCTTTTTGTGACGTATGCCTTCTCGAAAAAGCATTGTATGAATTATGCTTTATCTAACTATATGGACGAGGTCCTTTCTATTTCTGTCTTAATTAGTTAGTGTTTTTAATTGATTTAATAGCATCAAGCTACTTTTGTTATTTGCAAAAAAAAGTGTATAAACATTCATTCCTAATGTGAGTGATTTTTGTTCAAAAAACCTAGAAAGTTTTTCATGTAAAGTTTGAAATGAATATGTTAATTCCTGGAAGAAGATGTTACATGACAAAAATATCTTAAAAAAATATCTTAAGATATTTTCATGTACAGGACCATAGAATTCTAATATTAATTTATAAAAAGTTGTTTCACTTTTTTCTTGTAAGATAAATGTATGAAATAAGATATTATATACTTAATCTAAGTATTTATATTTATTTGTTTATTTTTTTGGGAGTTTTTGACCCATTTTTTTTTAAAAAATCTACTTGACCGGTTAGTCTGGTTAACCACCTCAGTTAGTCCGGATTCGGTTCAAACTGCTCCTAGCCCCATATCTAGTTAACCGTTCCTGTTCGATTTTACAAATATTAGTTGAAACTAAGATGAGTTAAGCTATCTCTGGGCAGCTCTAGACTGCCATTGAAGCAAAGATGGGTTAAACCATCTCTAAACATCTTTAGACTGTTGTTATAACTGAGATGGGTTAACCATCTCTGGTAGCTTTAGACTGAAATTGAAACAGATATGGGTTAAACCATCTCTAGGCAGCATTAGACTGTCATTGAAATTGAGATGTGTTAAGCCATCTCTAGGCAACTTTAGATTGCCGTTGAAACTAAGATGGGTTAATCCATCTCTGGGAAGCTTTATAATGCCGTTGAAACTGAGATGGGTTAAGTCATCTCTAGGAAGCTTTAGACTTCCGTTGAAACTGAGATAGGTTAAGCCATCTCTGGACAACTTTAAACTACCGTTGAAACTGAGATGGGTCAAACCATCTCTATTCAACTTTTAGATTGCCGTTGAAATTGAGATGGGTTAAGCCATCTCTATTCAACTTTTAGATTGCCATTGAGACAATCCATGACCTATTCTCGAAATCCATAGACTAAGCTATGGTCCGATCATAGTCAAATAGGACTCGTTTGAATGATGAGAACCATACTCATCCCCAAGTGGTTTTACTCTTAGTCTTTCATTAGGACTAAGTGTCCATACTGCTGCAAAGGCAAAAGTATGAGTAATTAACAACCCAATCAATGTTCTTCATCTTGTTTGTGATAAAAGTACACCCAACAAAAGGTAAAATATGATCCAATGAAAAAAAGAGGAAAGCTTCAAAACTATTACAAAATTATAACCGGACTTAATCTAAGTGGTCTTAACAAAAGATTAGGGTGGTTTAGTATAAATCTCAAAATATTTCCAATGTCTATGAGATGGAAAAGATGGATTTTTCCTATGGTTCCAAAATATTCATTTTCTTCCGTTGGCCAAACACCTTGATCAATCGATATGATGGACCCTAAAATTTTCAAATGTTATTTGTAGCACACTAAGACAAATAGAAGAGAAAAGGACCTGGGTTTCATAAAGAGCCCAAGATTAGTTTTGGACTATCCATTGTTATAGATATTAATTGTGAATAATCTTGGGCTCAAAATAAAGTTTTTATGAAATTAATATAAGGATGCATTAATATATTATAAAAAAGTCATAGCTCTCATAATTTCAATGCTTTTGCTCTCATACATATGGCAAAGTATAAAATGAGACTATTTATCTTTGGTATATGGTGGTCATATTAAGCTTGTCTATTGGATGTGAAATTGGGTGGCTTCAATTATTCTACTGATCAAGTTTAAACTTCAAAAGAAATTTTCTTGAATGTTGTGACACATTTAGGGCTATCAAATTTCATGTCGGATGGTTGGATGGTTGTAAGCAATTGTGACCACTTTGTATCAAAGGCAAATG